TCCATAAAATTATATATTTTCATAAATTTAACCTTAAAATTATATAGTGAAGGACATTACAAAGGCATATAACTAGTATATAAGTGACTATATATAATATATATATGAAAAACTTTTGTCCGCATATATCCTTCTTCGTTTTGCTTTTCATCATTTCAGGCAAGATGCCAAATGTTTAGTGGTGATTCTATAGTAGAAGAGAGGCCCCTTTTCGTTTATTGTACACTCGTTATCCTGTTTCGAATCTAAGACATCGCTCTCTCTCCATTTTAACTCGATTGGGAGAAACTTTACACCGCTTTTTAACGTTTTTTTTAAACAAGATTTATATATAAAAAACCCATCTTAGTTGTTTCTACATCTGTAAAAAGTAAGATAAAAAATCCATTTTTGTTGGTAATTTTTAAGGTTAAATGCTACTAGTCAACTGCATGATTGATGAGAGAACCTCCTACTGATGCTAATATATACACTTAACTGTTTCTAAGTGTTATATTGTGTAGAGAAAGAGAAACAGGGAGAGGGTCTTTGTTGGGTTATTGCCAGAACTATATGGAAATGAAAATCTGAATTGAATCGTGACTGTTTTTAACCAGATTTCTTTCCATGACTTTATTTTTTTTTTTTAGCTTTAAACCATAGAAAGATCCGATAATAACTACAAATTCGATTTTCTGTTTCTTTTTATATATATATATTTTTTAATTTTTGGAATATATTTTAAGTATTATCTTTCAAGATAATGTTAAATTTATTCACTGTCTTTTACAATCTCATTTGCATGATACTGTTCCATTTAACAATTTGGATATATATGGTTTGATTAAATAAATGTACAAGCTTACACAAAAGCAATTTTTGGACAATGTATCGAGTTATTGTTGTAATTTATATTCATCTGTATGAATAAACAATCATTAAAATATAGCTCCCTTTCTCTTCTCGTATACACCACATTCAACTAGAGATAATCGTGCCACTTCCTCACCTGAAAATTGGCATTTGTATAAGGATTTTTTGGAGAAAATATAAAGTAAATTTTAACATTTTGACGAATTTTCATCAATTTAATGCATTACGAAATTCCTACCATCGAAGAAAACTCAACAAACATTACCCAAAAGTGTTTTTATACGAGAACACTCCAGACGATAAGAGGGAGACGTGGATTTATGATCCATAATCCTTTTAGTAACGGACGGATTTTTGGAAAATATGTTTCTTATTTAAGAAGGAAGAAGTCTTGTAGAAGTTTAATAACTTAAAATATACAAGATTGTAAATATAAAAAAAATAAAATGTAAAAGAAGAGGAAGAAGAGGAATCTCGAAAGAGGATGCGATTCGCTTTCTTAGTTTTGTTAGAGAAGTAGCGATTTTTTATGATAAATTTCGAGTAAAACTAATAATTTTATCGAAGTTTAATATAATAAAACATACGAGGAATGTATAAAAAAAAGTAGAAATATAAAAAAGAATTACATAACTCGAACAGAAATTGCAAAATAAATAAGAGGAACTCTCATGCCATTAAAACTATTCGAGACATTGTGGTGTAGTTTTTTTCCTTTATTTTTTTAAAAAAAGAAAATTCACTCTTTGACATTTTTAATAACAATTTCTCTATATTCTACAAGCACAAATATACAAATATATTTTTTTCTTGGACGATAAAATAAAAAACTTGTGCTATTTTGCAGCCATAAAATCGAGACGTTGTAAAAATCCTACATTTACTTATTAGATTTGTCACTCCTATAATAATTTTTTTTATACATCTCGGGTTAATTTTATTCAGTAGTTAAACTTTCTGAAACTTTATCTAGATAAACACGGATGAAAAGTAATTGTTCGAACTAATTTTCGAGTGTTTATTTTCAGTTAAATATCGCATATTTGCTCCTTTTCTATCATTAGAAAACCTGCATCACTTACTTTTACACGGGCTACTTTTTCCCTTCCCCTTTTCTAACTCCACCTTGCTGCTAATGATCCTTAATTACTCGCTTTGGCAAGTGTAATGGGGAACTACTTCGGCAGTATCATTAATAAATAGAAAAAAAAGGTGGAGAGAAAGAGGAGGAGGATGCGGAAAAGAGGAGGAGGAGGAGAGAGAAAAAAATCCTTTCCAACATCCGAAAATAAAATTTAAAAAAAATGTATATATCGAAAAGATATATTTTTCTAAGAAATCTTCAAATTTTTGACAGCTTTTGTGGAGTTTAGTATGATCTTCTCTTGGTAAATTCTACTTGTTCTCTCATCGAACAAGTTTTCTAGTTCGTTTACTCGTAGAATGGATGATGTATGACACGATATCTGCGATGTAAATGAAAATTTTAACCGATTTTTACACGTTCTTTCGGCATAATTGCACTTCCAATGTCATACTTTGCTAAGAATATACAAACTTTCTGAAAGTATAATGATAAATATCCCTTAGTTTGTTAAGGCATTCGTAAGTCTCCCATGTTAATAATAGTAATTTGTTTCTTCTAGTCACATTAGAGAGATATATTATACTAAGAAAACAATGTCAAATTCTCCAGTAACTTACCGAGATTTAATTAAATCAATTCAACGTTATTATACCTTAAATATGAACTGATTTTATTGGAAAACTTTTAAAAAACTTCAAAATTCTTAATATGTTTTGTATTAAACTCTGTGTTAATTGTCCCAATTTAAGGGCTAGAATATATGGAATTAATTATCATAAATTAAAATTATGATTCATTTAATTAATTAGCGCAAATTATCATTATTTTCTAATTATTACTCTTTAATATTTAGTTCTGAAATTTAACAAATTTAGTCCAAAAGTAATTCCAAAATTCAAGAAATTTAATAAAACATACTTCTAAATTACTAAAATCTGCGTATATTTAGGCTTAAATTTAATATTTAATGCTATTTTTATATAGCCTATATTTTTATTGTATTATATTAATTATGATAGGAATATGTGCATCAAACAAAATATGAACACCATTATCTTATTCGAATATTAAATATCATGTAAAAATTATATTTAGAACACGTTGTCGGTCCTTTGCGATATAAATAACATATAAGTCTTTTATATGTTTTAAGGGTGCTTGGTCAAAAATATGTTTTCTTAACGACGATTGGCTATGAGAATAAAGATACGCCTACTTCTGCTTGTTTTAAGTTTTTTATCCAATAGTAATCATGGTGTTTATTTTCCCAACCAATCACCGTTAAATATTTTAAAATTTACGACGAACATAAAATACGCCTACTTCCGTATATTTTAAATTTTTTATCCAATAATAGTTAAGTCCTTTATCTCTCCAACCAATCGTCGTTAAATATCTTAAAAGTTAAATCTCATATTTATCTCAGAGGACGACTTATGTTTATGTATCTATTTTAAGGCTACTTTCTTTGGTATTTATTTTCTAAATCACTAATTTTAATAATTTAAAGTTTATAAATTATAATAAAAAAGCACAGCGATGGATTTTATATATAATATTTATTTAATATAGCAAAATAACTTCGATTTAGCACGTCTCAGTAGCTAAATCGAAGTTTGAATACTAAATTACTGAACTTTCTCACGATATATTGATGAAATATATTAAGAAACTATAACATTATGGTTTAATAAAAGCCTAAATCCGAAATTTAACGTTATATATGATATTAATATGGATAAATTCGCGTGTAGAAGCGACAAAAATATTCTAGTCTTTCCTAACTCCCGAGTGGTTGTACATTCAATGCATACTTGTAGCATATATTTAATTCATTCCACAAGAGGACAGACATACAAAAGTACAATATTATCGCATATATTTCTATTAAATCGAGCTAGAAAATTTACTATTATTATTCGCAGCGCGTATAGGTTAAAGTGTTGCATTAAAGAAATTCCCGTGACTGTTGATAACAATCTTTAACAACAATCTAATAAACAGATTTGCGAGCCAATCGTTGCTCGCGTGCGTGTAGCACCACTTACTTTAGTTTAATTACCGATCGCATATGCTACAGAGCGAGACGTTGTCACGCTAAGCGATTCGCAATAAGTGACTTATCACTTGTGACAAAGTTCTTAAGGTAGAGAAGGAAAGAGGGAGAAAGCGAGAGCGAGAGAGAGAGGAGGGGGGAGTTTATCCTTACCGTTCTCACACCTGAGACACGTGACAGAGAAGCAGGTGGAGACATCTTACGACAGTAAATTGTACTATAGGCTAGTATCATCGATTATTATCGACGAGTCATCGGTCTCGCTGCGATTGTGGCTAGCCAGATTCTAATTTGGGAACGTTTTAATTAAGAGAGGGGGTTACAGCGTATGCAAATCTTAACCTAGTTGGGCAGTTAGCGTGCCTTTACACATGGATATTGTAGAGAAAAATATACATATTCTAGTTTCTAAATTCACATCCGGTGACAAAAGATATAAAAATAATGAAAAACTCCACTTCCTTTGTTTGAGAGAAAACAATAAACATTCATCAGATATCTAACCAGAGCTTTAAATGCCTTTTTTCCCTTATTTTTTGTTTTTTAAGTGGTGTCGTATGGCGAAAATGCCACGGGTCAGACAGAAATTGGGCGTTTGGCCAGCTAGTAGTAGTCTCTTAGAGGGAATTATACTTGTCACTATTAATTGAATGGTTCATGATACACAACTCGGATATTTTTGCTTCTTAATTTGATTTAGGATCATTTATACCTTTTAATGATATTCTCTTAGCTTTCTGTATTGCTCTGGCTTCACTCTTCCTACAAACAATCTTAAAAAACTTAATTTTTTCTAAAGATTTGCAGTGGATTAGAAACGATTTGTAAAGTCGACCTAGTTTTTAGTGTAGTAAACATCTTTCTATTTCCGCTTTTCTATAAATATCTCGAGCCTTTTAGATCTTTTTACCCTTTTCTATGATAGAAATACGTGCTTTTTTAAAAATAAAGTGATTTTTTAATTAACAAACATGTTATATTTTTTTTTATTTTCTTGCAGTGTTTTCTCCTTCTGATTTCTACTAAACAACTATCTGCTCTTAATGTGGAGGACGAACTAGAGACGAGCACGGTAAGATGCTTGTGTTAAACCTCTTTTACAAACTTTTATATATAAAGATTTTTCTCTTTACTGTTTTCATCTTTCTTCACCTCGGAAGCTGTTTCTGCTTCTTATCTCCTGCAAAAAGCAGGAAGTCAACTCGAACGATCCGATAGAAAGGCTCTCACGTCATCCACAAATTGTTGACCCGCGTGCCTCTTCTATTGTAAGCATAGAATACAAATAGCCTTAAGTTGAATGAGATAATGGTTTTTCGTCCTGTAAACACTAGCCAGAGTCATCATCAGATATAGTGTTATGAAAGGCATTACTTTAATTGTCCTTCCTTTACATTTGCTCGAATTCTTTTTTCTTGCGAATCTTAAAAAAATTGGATTTTTGTTTAAAGGAATAATCCAAAATTGGATCATTTTTTTGGACATGCGGTCAAGTTTATGATCAGAAAACTAGGATATTGAATGCGATCAAACGCGACTGAAAACTTTTACTGCAATACTTATCCCAAATTTTGTCAGCAGGCGAGACGGAATTTTATCTCGTAAAAAGAATTACTTTTTAGTCTATGGATTTACCAAACCCTACACGGTTTGATCGTAAAAATGTGGAGAAGCACTTAGGATGGTTTAGGCACCAAACTACGCTTTACGGCTCCCACTTTCTTGTTTTCTCTAAAGTACTAAATTTGTCATGGATCGAAATTATGTCAACAAGTCGTCTAAATTAACCGTCTCGTGCGGGGGAGGGGTCGCGACTTAACTCCCGCGAAAAATTCGAGCGCGAGGATCTACGCAAACTTTTCTAAAATGTCCTCCCCACACGGACGAGTAAGTGATGCTCATTAAAAAGACCAAAAAAAAAAAAAACTCGTAATGAACGATGGTAAATGATATCGGTAGAGGCGCATTTAATATTATTTAATTTCGGCTAAAGAAAATGAAAAGTGGTTTGTTCTCCGTTTTTCCTAACACCATAAAATCTCGTCCGGATAACAGTTACCATGACAACGGAGGAGGATGTAGTGAGGAAATGAAAGAAAAAGAAAGATATTCCAGACTAGACGGCGCCTTTTACAAATGGCTTGCAAGTCATCTGTATATAGGCATTTCTCCAATTAAATCTGAGACGCATACGCAGAGATCACCCTTCTCTTTTCTGTCTGCTGAATACATTTCTCTAACTGTCGGCTTCCCCGCATAGCATTGTGCGTCGTGTTGGAAAGTTTGATTTACAGGGGAGACGAACGCTTTATTACCAGGCACTCATTTAATTGTTGTTGATTGTGCTGAAAATTGTCCTTCTACGATCCATATGCTGAGCTTTCCTTATCGATTTACGACCCTCTTTAACATTTATTTTATAAAATATTTTTTAGAAAAATTAATTAATTAATTAATGAAACATTTAAAAAAAACTTTTTTCCTCCTCCCTCCATCCTCTTTTCCCCGTTTCTCTCTGCCTTTTTCTATTCTTCTCCATGCTGTGTGTAATACTGAATGGTATCAACGTTTAGAGTTAGATTAATGGCTCGGTGTTTAAATCAGATAATAGGGTTTGGCAAGTGGACAGGAAGTAAAGTAATAAAATAGGAAAGGCACCTGTCGGAGATCGGAAGTTTTCAATTGCATTATTTCGTTTCTCGGAACCGTTTTCAGTTTTAAACACGCATGTAGTTATATACTCGTAATTAATAAGGTAAATTTTATATCAATTTATCTTGATATAAATCTTTACAGTAGATTTTTTCATTCGTATCTACGAAAATTCGAGCATTATTGATAAAATCCTGTTCGTTCCCCTACCAGAGAGAGTCGGAAAAAACCCGAATAAAATAAAAAAAGAAAGAAACCTCGGTCCATGTTTAGTGTAAAAACATAGAAAGTCAGTGACCCGCTATGTTGTGTGTACTACATGAAGCATATTTATCATTCATGTCACTATGACGACGTGAAAAGTATCTAACCGGGCTCTAGAAAACAAGCATCACTCTCTTATTCCATCTTGTAATACCAATGCGTGCTTCATTTAAGAAAGATGGCTACCGACATGACCAATAAGGGTGGTCTCTTTCGTCACGTGATCCGACTAGATCCCCCCACATGAAAATTTGATCAGGTGTGTAAGCCATTAAGAACAGATTAATGTGGAAGTGCTTGGATGGCGTGACTATCAAACCCTAATGTCGTGACTGTAAGTTTTGGTTTAATGCCCCACTACTGTTCGTCAACTTGGGGATTATTTTGTTTTAAGGGGGGAGAGCATTATACTCTGGTATTTTCTACTCACGAATATAGACAATCACTCACGCACTCGAGCGAAAAAAAAGCGACGACAAACTCCGGTGTTTGGTTGGATGATCGTTTTTCATTCTCCTCTAGATACTTTCCCCCCTACTCTATTCGATCAAGGGGTCATTTTTTAAGTCTATTTTGGTTAAAATGCCAACACGCCATGTGTCTCAATCGGATATTTCCCAGGATTATTGAGAGAAAATTACTAGTTTCGCAGAATTGTAGTTTAACATTTTGACAGGAAATTATCCATTTAAAATAATTTACTTGCTCTACATTGCGTTCAACCTTTCATCTTTTCGTAACGTCTATAAAATGATTTCAACCGTATTAGCACAGAATTTAAATGTTTAAAAATAAATTACATTAATGAAACTAAGCTCCAATTGCAGGAAACTTAAATAAATAATGCAAATTTTATTTTTTCCCTAATCAATTTAGATTTAATCAACGTTACGTCTATGGTAGATTTGTATGGGAATTTTAATAATGATTATTTAAAATAAATTAAATTTAGTATCTCTTCTGATAAAAGTCCTTTTAAATTTTATTGTGAAATTATAAAATTTTAAATAATTTACTAACAGAAACTGTTACGAAAGGAAGATCAAGAGCAAAGAGAGAAGGGAGATGTTAAACTTAATGATTTGAACAATATAAAGTTATAATTGCCAATTAAACTTCAGTATTTAAAAATTAATTAGATTATTTATAGCTTTTAAAATTAAGGAAGAAAAATCAAAAAATTCTGCACATCCTTAGTCAGAATCTGCGTTAGAAATGCAAGCATTGGGGATGCTTTACTCGGACGATATTTACGAGCTTGTCTCTTAGAATGGTTTGCAATATATCATTGAAATCTCTAATATGCTAATCGACTAGAGAGTGGACACTCTTATCTCAGTAGTGATGGAGTTTCCTGCATCTGTGACATTTGGGATGGCAGAAAACGTGACAGACAATGTTGTAACGGTCAAATATGACCTAGGAACATAGTTCAAAGTCAAAGATTATCACCATAGACATGCATGAGAGGAGGGAGAACGTGTTGTTTGCTAACTGACTAGGAAATTACAGGACGTATGCCATAATACGAATAGATGACTTCTTGCTTAATAGAATTTTTGATATCTAATTAGATTATTTTAGATGTAAAATATTTTATATCATGTATAGAAATATTATTAAATTTATAAATCAATTATATATTTTGCCACAGTTTAAAATCCCTTTCTTCCCTCACTGCATACACTAAGATTTCCTAAAATGGTTAATGGGTGGAGGGATATATATGGGGGCCTTTAAGGAGAACCGGTTATAAGAACAAGATGTACTTCCCCTCCAGAAATAAAATAAAAAAACTAAAGTACTGTGTAAACATTTTCCAAATTACAGCCTTTGATAAATTAATGGCGGCAGATTTAAATTAATATTTTATAAAATTTTAAAGTAGTCGTGAATATTTTTTGAGAATGAGAATCATAAAATCATCAGCAAATTGTCTATATACACATATACGTATAGAGCATGATGATGATCTTAAGATTCCCATCTCAAAGGAGGTAGGGTGTCACATAAGTCTGGAACCATAGGCTGATCTTTGTTTATTCTTTTACAGGCAGAGTTGAGTAAGGAGTAAGGAGGAATGAATTATCTTACTCCTTACCTGAGTAAGGTAATTTATTTTGATGCTGGGTACCCACAATCAGCGTGAAGCACTGAATAGTTTAACATGCTGCATCCAGACAAATGAACTTAATTGGTGACAAATTTGGATGCATCCAGTGACTCTTCGGTGCTTCATGTGATTGCGGGTCCCACCATCAAAATAACTTGAATTCGTTTCTTCTTACTCGGCGCCATGTTTTAAATGTAAAAGAATAAATAAAAATGAACGTAACTCATACGGTTTCACACTTATGGGGCATCCTGCATATATTAAAAGTATTTAAAACTTCTTCAAGATAATTTGTAAGAATAATACTGAATTTTACATAAAAATTAAGATATTAAGTTATATTTTTGAAAATTGATTTAAATTTTAGTAAAATATTCTATAAAATATGGAACTAAACAGGCCTTATAACATTTTCGAAGAGAGTATTCATAAAATTACCTCCAAATTAACAAGTAACACATCATTAACGCTTGTCATGTTCGATATATAAATGAAACTGGTTTAAAATAGTAACACACGGATGGCCCAAAAGTCAAACATTCATTTAAAAACCAAATTGTCTATCTTATCCGAACAGTTAATGATTTATTTTTTTTTAATATTTTCATCAATTTTGTAACAGCAAAATACATTGTTTATACTCGCAATTGTATTCGAAACGTAGACTACAAAAGCGGTTAACTAATTTTTGGGCCACCCTTTCTATAATTTAAATTAGTAGCACGTTTACTTAAACGATAATTAGAGGCGGTCGGTTTTATTCGATATCGTATAAAATTTTTACAATATTCGAAAATAATTTATAGGAGAAGGAGGAGAGGATGGCCCGCATATATTTAATTTAAAAAAATAAATTTGAGATATTTTAAAAGTTTAATATATTTATCAATGTTAGTAGTCGAGAGATTGATGTAACGTGTTCAAGTGCATTTCTTTGTTTCAAAAATGAGGAAGACGTTCTTTATATTAAGTATGTCTTCCACTCGGGGAGGTCACAGTCATTGAAGAGAATTCTTATTTTATTTGTTTTATTTTTTATCGTTTCACATCATTAATGCGTCCAAAAATCTGCAGACAAAGACGTCAGAGAGAGAGAGAATAAAATGTGTAAGTAAGAAAGAACAAAGTAAAACAAAAGAAATCCCTGAAAGGAGTTTGCTCATTGCTTGTAAGGTTCAGTAACCTTCTCCTCTTAATCCAGTCCCCGAAAAGTCTGTGAAACCAGACACTAAAGATCAAGCAACGCCTTCGAGCAAACACAACTTCTCTCTTCCCTCGGTTAGAAATTCGGCAATTTAGAGTAACTTCTAACAAAATTTATACACTAGTGAACCTAGTGTTTGCTTATAGAAAGATCTTATGTTGTTGCTCTATCTGTTCTTTTTCAATTTTTAAGGTGGATAAGAGGAGCGACAACGGAGAATGGACAACATGCTCTAGGACCTGTGACGGTGGAGTTAGTGTACAGATTAAAAATTGCACAAGTAAAGGAGGATGCCAGGGAGAATCAGTTAGATACCGCATCTGCAATATGCAGGTGAGTTGTGTAAGGGGAGAGAATTAATCTGTTGAGATTCCTTCGAGTGGAAACGACTACAAAGGGTTTTTTTTTATTTAAAAAATCGAATCGTCTCGTTAGTTAAACACGCGATTAATATAAACGGTTGAATGGTTAAAGAGTTAAAAGAATTGCATACAAGAAAACAGCTCAAGAATCACGTTCTCCATCTTGAAACTTGGAATAAAATTTTTATATATACATTCTAAGGAATTTATCTTAATTTTATAGAAGGAAACGTTTCCTAGTGTAGATAATTAATCGGTTCCTCCATCAGAATTACAAGATTGGTTCCAAAACTTAATCAGGGAAACCGATAGTGGGTGGGGATGTTACCTCAATTTCCTTATCTCCTTTAATCTTGTGATTAATTTTGACTGACACAGATTAAAGATTAGCTTATGTAGATTAAAAACGAACGTAAGTAAATTGAATAATATAAAAAGATTTAGGTCAGACAAGGTCAAGAGAATTAAAGCATCCATTAATGATATTTAAAGTTTGTTTAATTCAATTTTTTTCAGCCTTGTAAGAAGGGGGACGACTTTCGAGCAACGCAGTGTTCTGCATACAACAATATACCATATCGTAAAAAGCTGTACAATTGGAAACCATATTATGACTCTGAAAAACCTTGTAGCCTCACCTGTCAAGCTGAGAGTTATAATTTTGTTATCACATTGGCATCAAAAGTTATAGATGGCACAAGATGTCGAGATGGTTCCCTAGATATGTGCGTGTCGGGAGTTTGTATGGTAAGTTTTAACAACATTTTAAAATAAAAATTACTCGAAATTACGTATATTTTGAACGATGTTTCTATTGTGTATCAATTAAAAAAATACTTTCGAATTTAATTCTGAAAATGAAGATAAAACTGCTTAATTCTATAAAGGAGAGAGGATAATATCTTCAATTCTGTAAAAAGATGATGATAAATTATTTAGTTGTAGAAAGAAGATGGGGATGAATTCTGTAAAGATGCTAGGGATAAATTATTTTATTCTACAAGGATGACGAGGATAAACTGTTTAATTCTGTAAAGATGATGAATGATTCTGTAATTCTATAAGTTATGATGATGACGATGTAATAATTCTGTAAAGAAGATAAGTTTTCGAGAATTAAACAGTTTATCCTCATCTTTTTTGTAGAATTAACTAATTTACCATTTTTTTTTCTTTACAGAATTAAATAATTTATCCCTAATATATTCCCTAATTTTAAAGATATTTCTACTATTTTCTGACTTGAAGGGATAAAAGTTTTCCTTACATTTTATCGATTTTTATTAACTTGATAATTTCTTTTAAAGCTCAAAAAAGTAAATTATTCTAATTTAAAAGTTTCTTTACATTTAAAAATTAAGGAAAAAATAAATAAATAATCGTAACTCTAGAAATATTTAAAATAAGGAATAAAATTGGAATTCCGAATGGAAATTTAAAATTTTTATTTTTAATTTTTGAAATTAATCAGATAATACTGGATATTATTAAGAATTACGTTTTGTTTTTTCAAGAGGTTAATTAATGTAAATTTTTTCTGATTTAGGTTTCCTATTATGAAATATGCAGCGAATTTTTTAAAAATTTTTATATGAAATTAAACAGAGTTATTAGAAATTTTAGGGAATGTTTATAATTTTTAATCCTTATTTTCTTATCAAAAGCCAATAAATACTTGCTTTAAAATAAAAGTCAGAATTTCTCTATCTGGAAATATAGGGATGTTTCTTTCATCATTACTTTCTTACATAAAAATTCTCCTAATTTTTTATTCATTCAATTTTTCTCCCTTTAAAAATTTCCTGTTTTTCTTTAGAATTTAGAAACATTCCTATCTGGAAAAATATGGAAACTTCTCCCCTTATCTTTCCCTATCTCACAAATTCCTCTGCTTCTCTATTCACTCAATTTTTTTACCTTAAAAGTTCCCTATTTTCGTTAAAATTCATCAAATTCATAAGAATTTTCGAAGAACGGGACTAAATTCAAAATAGAATTTATCCTTGGAAAAAACTTCATCTCTAAAAATCATAAATCTGTTAGAAAAGTTTTAGAGCCAGAGAGGAAGAAGGAAAGATTAAAAAAAGAAAAAAAAACTTAAAGAAAAACACGAGATAAAACATTTAAAATGCAAATTTTCTAAAGAAAAATAGAGTTTTTATAACGAGGAACCCCGATTTAACAACCCGTTTTTGCATTTTTACAGAGTGTAGGATGCGATCTGCAGCTGGGTTCTACGAAAAGAGTAGACGAGTGCGGAGTATGCGGAGGTGATGGAACAAGTTGTAGGAAACCAGCTTATCAATGGATAGAAGCTCAATTCTCTCCCTGTTCCGTTACCTGCGGCGGTGGTATGTATCACATGTTATAACACCATCACTCAGCATAGACCAGAGAGGAGACAGCATATAAATGATGCGGATCAATTGCAACATCCGGGAGAAGAATATTAATTAACGAATACTAGTTTCAATCAAAGGGTAGACAATAAGAGTAGTGTGACAGTCGATAAGTCTTATTAGTTGGATAAATGCCTTACTGACATCAACTGCTGTCTTCTAATTCACTACAATACAATAGCATTGTCTTGATGAGCATCTATAAAAATATCCTCTCCCCCTTTCTCCATAACTTCACCCCTAGGATAGGTTATCGATTATGTTAATGAATGGCCGAGTAATATTTTGATCAACAGTAATCTGTCTGTTTAGTAGAATTCTCTAGTCACACGATATTATAATCATTCAAAGTAAGATAAATTATGCAAGAGTAGAGAGAGAATTATTATATCTTTAATATATTGATCCGCATAATTTCAGAGTCTATTGTTAGCAGATGTCATACAGAAATTGGATTTTTGGGGGGTTTTCTTGGAAAATTCAAGCAAATTGTATGAGATATATTTAACTTTCTTTACAGGTTATCAGATGTCACGTCCTGTGTGTCTGAATAAGGAGTCCGGTAAGGAGATGGACGAGAGGTTATGTGACATATCTAAGCGCCCTAGACCCTTAATTAGGGAATGTAATTCTCAAAAGTGTCCCGCATCGTAAGTGTAATTGCTTTATTATATAAAAAGAGTGTTTAATTTGTTAATTTTCGATGCTCTTTCGCGAAAATCGATGGAGGAGGATGGTTTAAAATATGATATTTTGTAGTTGGATTATCGAGAGTTGGAGCGTTTGTTCTTCGAGTTGCGGGGGTGGAAAACAAACTAGGCAAGTTTATTGCGCTCAGGGTGGTCCTAACGGGACACGAATCAAGATATCAAATCATCATTGTCCTCATCACAAACCCATCACGCAGAGGTCGTGCAACGTTCATACTTGTCCTCGATGGTTTAATGGGCCTTGGTCTGGGGTAGGTACAGTTTTTTAGAAGTTTAATTTCGGTTTTTTTCCTTATTTTAAGTTAATTTTTGTCGTTTTAGTGTTCGGTCTCGTGCGGATTAGGACACCAGACCAGAGCAGTGTTTTGTCACGATGCTCGCGGATACCGAACTGAAGGTTGCGACAAAACCTCTATGCCTCCTACTAAACAATCTTGTGCTACGGGGATTGCTTGCTTGAATGAAGGTGATAATGATGATGATGATGAAGATGATAATGATTCTGGTAAGTTGTGCTTTAATAAGCCAATATTTTTCAGTTCAGACGTTACAAATGTATTGTTTTTACAGAAATTGCTGAAGGATCTCAGGAAGATGCACCACCACAACTCTCTGATTCTCAGCCCCGGTCTCAGAAGATTGTAGCCTCTCCGCGAATTTCTATAGAACCTAAGTATGCCAATAACCATTTTGTGTGCGTAACTTGTAAAAATTTCGCTAACGTCCTGGTCTTATTACAGTTATGTGGCAGGTGATTGGAGTCCTTGCAGCGCGACCTGTGACAAGGGTGTTCGAACTCGAACCGTCAACTGTAAGATATTTTTAGAGTTCTCCAAGTCTATAGCCACGTTACCTGATAAAGAATGCACGGGTGAGCTTAAAAATCTTAAAATTTATTCTAAAAAATGCACATTTATCTCTAAAATTGCCTTTAAACAGGTCCGAGACCACCCGAAATAGAGAATTGTTACGCTCGCCCTTGTGCTCTCGATCAGAATAAGCAAGAAGAAAACGATATTCCTAGAGGCCAGGTGGGCATTGAAGTTACTTATTCGTGGAGATCCGCCGGATTTAGCCCTTGTAGCGCCTCTTGTTTGGGAGGTAAGCTAGTGACATTACGGAAGAATGCAGACGAGAGGGTGTATCGTAATTTGCATGTTTTCCTCAATTTAGGGACAAAGGAATCTGTGATACATTGCGTACGAGACCACGATCAAGCTATTGTAGACCACTACAAATGTGACATTAGAAAAAAACCCGATTCGATAACACTAACTTGTAATGACCTAGCATGCCCTCCGAGGTATGAATTTTAATCATGTTTAGATTTTAATATGGTTTTGAAAGGATTTTACGAAATATTTCTGTTAAAACAGGTGGAATATATCGGAGTTTACTCCCTGTTCTAAACAATGCGGTGGTGGAAAGCAGAAGAGAGTTGTACAGTGTCTACAAGAAGTAACCAGAGGTGCTGCAAACATCTTCATCGTTCCCAATAGTAATTGCCCACAACCTGAGCCACCATCTGAACAGTTATGTAATACTCTAGAATGCCCAGTTAGATGGAAAGCGGGCCTATGGAGTAAGGTAATTCACAAATATACAAAAAATTTTTACTCAATTAATTGGAAAATCAAACATTTTTAGAATTTATCGTTCCATTCTAGTGTTCCAAGAGCTGCGGAGAAGGACTCAAAACTAGAAAAATCCGCTGCCAGAGAGAATTAGCTTTTGGCCAAGTGATCGAATTGCCACCTTCTAGCTGTCCTAAAAAGAAGCCTAAAACTATTAAAACCTGCAATACTAAACCCTGTCCTGGAAAGAAGATCCCGAAACCCGCTATATATACCTCTCAACAGACTTACGAGCAGAAGCAACCACAAAATCGAGTGACGTTAAAAGTAGGAGGGAAGGCCCTGATATTCGGTGGAACTAACGTAAAGATAAGATGCCCCAGTAGAAAAATCAACAAAACTTTAATTATGTGGTATAAAGATAACGAAAAGCTACAGTCGTCCAAAAAGTTCAAGATTTCCAGGAAGGGGGCTTTGAGGATTCGCAAGATCACCATGCAGGATAGCGGGATCTACTCCTGCATCGCTGGAATGTCCAAAGCAGATATCAAAATCATAGTTAAACCTTACAGCAAGACATCAGACGAAGACAAAACTGTAGAAAGACCCGTTCTTTCAGTAGGTAAGTTGCGTGACCTTCGTGTGTCGCGTGATAGTTACAGCAATCCATAAAGAATCCTCGTGCTTAATCTAATTTGCGTTTGGTAAATTAATGGTCTGCTGCACTCGGAATCGTAATTTACTCGCCTTTTCGCCATCCTGTACCTAAAGCCATAAAACTTAATTTTTATTTTCTTTTTTTCCGTTAAGCTATACCGGATATGCCACCCGACAGGACCATCGAGGAAAATGATAAAAGCCACGAATTTCACAGAAGTAATAAAGAACTTGAAGATTCTAACAAAAGTCACTTCGTTAATCAAGGCAGATCGACGAGTGTAAGAGACTTTGAGCAAACTAAAGAGGAGTTTACTACGTCACCTAACACTCAAAAATATTGGCCTAAGAAGCCCAAAACAACCAAACCTAAGAACCTTCCTCCTAACGATTCTTTACACAATTTGCCTCAAGATACTAACATTTTGATGTCCTCCGAAACTTCTGATCCGAAAATCCACGATACATGGGAAAATAATCACGGAGGAGACGTGATATCAGATCAACAGAGTGAGGAAATCAACAGAGATAGAAGCCACGAGAACTACGAAACCACTGAAGAAATGGATATTCAATCAACTGTAACTTCAGGTGCGGCTAGCAACCAGCCTTTTCAAAGTTTCCACCACATGCTGAGTGGATTCAGAGTCGTGGACACGAACTCAGACGAATTAGACGATCCTTCCATGTTGGAAACTAAGCATGTCGTCTTGGGTAAAGGTTCTCCTGAAAGTTTAGAGTTCGATTGGATGGTCACACCTTGGTCCAAATGCTCGGAATCGTGCGGATCTACTGGTTTTCAGGTAAGATTTTCCGAAAATATTTTGAATAAAAGTTTATAATAAATTTAACATCCATTCGACCGTATAGATGCGTGCCAGCCAGTGTCTCGTGCGATTTAATAACGTGACGAAATCTGTAGACAGCAGATTATGTGTAGATAGGGGCCTGCAACCTCCTATCACCATGCAAAAGTGTGGGATGCAAGAATGCCCTCATTGGGAAACGGGGCCTTGGTCGGAGGTAAGATGTCAGTTTTTTTATCATCTGGTTTTAGATCAGTTGAATTTAGTCGGTGATGCGTGGCATGTCTACGCGATGTGTGTGTAAAATAAGAATCTTCTCTAGTGTTCAGAGAGCAGTTGTTTCACCTGGAATTTGGCTCATCAAAAACGTGAAGTCACCTGTAGATTGGCAAATGGCACTGATGTGGATGACCAAAACTGCGATGACAAAACTAGACCCAGGAGACGTCGAAATTGCAACAACGACCAGTGCCGTGGATCCTGGATAGTTGGAGAATGGTCGGAGGTAGGGGAAGGTAACTTCAAACCCCCCATGTGATGGAATCTTGCATGGCACGGCGCATGTGCATGCTTTTGACACGCACGCTAAACCCTTTCACGATTTATATTATAATAAATATTAATTAGTGATTGCGTCACACCCGCCACGCTACTCACAATCATCACATTCCCTTCGATATCTAACAGGATATCGGTACCCTTAACAAATGTGTTTTATAGATTAAAACTACATGGCATTGTGCAGTTGTTTATATAATTCTTATCCATTTGCAGTGTACTGCCACATGTGGCAACCAAGGTTTCCAAACACGCATCCTCCAATGTGTTTGGTACGGGACCAGAAGACCAGCAGGCAACGCATGCAGGGCCCAACCGCGACCGACGGTACTGAGATTCTGTAAGAGACCACAGTGTCCTCCGAGTGAGTAAGTGTTCTTAACCAAATTCGGCTGACAACGCTGCAAAAACTGCACCAAATAATACAAGACGTAAGCGCATCTGTATTATTCTTTTCTTTTCTTACAGGAGACGAGTGCACAAACCATTCCAAGTATTGTAGCCTGGCAAGAACACTGCACATGTGTCGTCTCTCCTATTATCGCCACCAATGTTGTGTTACATGTAGGGACAGCTAAAATATTAAAGATAATAATAAATAAAAAAAATAATCGCGTTGAACACCAAAGAAACAAACAAACAAAAACAAACAGACACCAATCAATGCATCAACATTGTGAGGTATAAGTGAACAAAAATTAACGCAAAATTATATTAATAAATAATAACTGTAAGAGAAAAGAGAAAAAGATCTCCATCATCCTGAAAACTCTGTATGCATGCAAGCATACATCACAAAATTAGATGAGTAAAGATATATATATATATATATATATAAAGACAATTGATTGGGTTTGCTCATGATAAGTTAAGTAACTAAACGTGAACAAATCAATAAGATTTAATCTTTCGAGGGACCATCTCGAAAGATCCTTCGACTCCGTGTGAGTGTCCGTTATATATATAAATTTGACTCTATCCTGTGTTTTACCTGATAGGTACCAGTGACTTTATGCACCTGAAAGAACGAAATAATAATAATAATAATTAATAAATAAAAACAATATGTCTGCCAAGCAAACGAGAGAATGATAACAATCAAAATATTTAAAAATATATATATATATATTCACACGCTTAAAATTCAAAGTAGAATATTTCAACTCTTTAAATATTTCACTTTAGATAAGAAAAAAAAAAAATATTAAAAAATATGAAAGTGCACATCACCCGAACTGTCAAAATAATAATCATTTTTGTGGCTTTGGTTGAAGATCCGCCCAATTAATTCGGATAGCAATAAAAATAAAATAAAAAATAAAAAGTATAATCTAAACAAGACATAAAGGTGCTTAAATATATGAGTTTTGTGAACTTAATTTGGAGTCTACCTCTATACAAGAGAAGGAGAAGTGTGACCAAAGAATTTGCATCAAGTTAAAACGAATACTCAAGCTTCACTGGTTTATCACAATTATCGCTCTTTCTCTATAATTAGTGTTTATTAGTTTGATCTTTAAACAAAATAAAGTATATATATATATAAGAAATAGGTGGTTGATTTCAATATCCTGATTTCTACCATATCAAGGATAATTCCACGCTCCGAGAGCTTATGTATTTCCCAAACATTCCTTCGCAGCAGGAAAAGGAAGAACTGAGGTTCGCTCTTATCAGCAATATAAAATAAAATAAAAATAAAAAATATATATATGTATACAAATATATATATGATACAGCACCGATAAGTATAAAAGAAAAGAAAATAATAAAAATAATCAGGGAGGAACGGATGCACGATGATGTCGGTGAGCCATTTTCTCAGGATGTTTCTCGTCTTTCTTGTCTTCATCCCTCCCCAACTGCCCTTTAACCATATATCGGGGCGGATGGGTTTTATACTGACGTGTCACGATTATTTCCGATTGTAACGTATGTAGTATTTATCATTTGTGTTTTATTAGAATTCACTGTAATGTTGTTGGATGTTCTGTCTTTGACTATATCTGAATAAATTCTTCAAATCGTGTTCCATTTTAAGCGTGTCTTTATTGATTATCGATTGGCAACATTGAATTTCACTCAATGAATTATCGAACTGGCAACACTCAATAAAATTATAGGCTGGCAGATGTTAAAAGTTATGTACAGTGACTCCGTCTAGTGTCGGCGATTTTAGCGCTCGTGCTGCCATCTGATGGTTGGTAATAGAAGTATCCGATTATTTTTTTCGTAAACGCCACTGTTTGAAAATGTTATAATTTCCAGCGATAAAATGACTTCATTAGTAGTAACAATTATTAAATTAAATAAAAATAGATACAATACACGTTCTCTTAACTAAAAAATGAAGTTAAAAAGCACTAAATATAAATTTATTCATTCAAAATACTCTTGAAAATTTACTTTAAAACGAAATTTATCGACATACTTTTAATTTAAATCAAAATTTTGTTTATTGGAACCATTATTCGTACCTTCAGTGCATTTATAAGTAGGGAAAAAAGTTTCTTCAGACTTTTTAGTAACTTTCATCTTCATCCACAAATTTTGGAGCTGTCGTAGCTTCAGATTTATTGCGCGAAATATTTTTCATCGTTATTTTAAACGATTTCCTTGTTTTGAATAAGTTCATCTGGGTAGATCCTTAATGAAATAATTTAATTTATTTTAAAATATATACATAAACATACAGGGTGGACAAAAAGTCAGGTAACCAAGACGTAAGTTATTATTTAAAACTGGTTTAATTGACTTTTGGACCACTCTTTGCAGAATACAGAATGAATTAGATTTATGAGATAAGGCAACGCAATACACGGGCTATCTGCTAACGAGAGCGCCTTCCAGGAGGACTTTCTACGAAAAACTGGCCCCTATTTAGGTTTTAGGCACGTGAAGAAAGCCGAAAATCTCCATGCGACCACCTATGGTCAGGCGTGAATCCGCGACTAATGCAGAATGCAATGTAAATTAATTGCTTACTTCGTACGAAAATGGATGCCTTGATCTTGCTGTCAACCACCTTTTTCTGATTTCCTATAGATTTCCGATAAAAGGGACGAATTATGTTATAATATAAGTATCTGGAGGATGAATTTAACCACGAAGAGTACAGCCATGAAAAGAGAAGAAACTTCAAGAAAAGTTACCATTTAGTACAGCTCGATACCGATATAATAATAAATGTGATAGCGACTTACTTTAAGACACCAATAATATATTAATTTATTAAGAATATTCCGTATTGCATGCTCTAGAAGAACAAAAATTGCGAAAATTATCCAGAATACTAGAAGTCTAGAATGTTCTTCGATTTCTTCATATTCGACAGCGTAAAGTCTGTGAGAGGCAAGATTTTTAGGATTTCAAAATACAGTGACAAAAAATATTTAAAAACAGAGAACTCACGACATAAAAGCGGGATACACACACATTGCAGCAGTGCAAGTTAATTCTCCTGTATATTCCATTATGAAACTCATTACGAGAAGTACATAAAAGACTAAACAATAATTAAAGATGTAGGATAAACTCGATAAGATAATTCTTAAAGAATGACTACGTACTTAAGAACCACATGACTCGAGATATTCCTGTGTAGTATTCGGCATATTCGAAAATAAAGGTAAAGATATTTAAATCATTAAGTGAGAAATCTATGTGATAATTCACTAACTTAAAATTGATTTTCACGCAATTGTATATCTTAGTAAATCGAGAAAGAACCATTGCTGTGAACTATTGTTGAGGATTTTTATTGTCTGATGACGTGATAATAAAAATAGCAGAACACTGATTTATTTATTATTTGTTACGAAAAAATAGAGTTAATAACGAAGGCGCGACATAGAAGGAGATAGAGCTACGCGATGAAAGAGTTGCGATTTGGCTGCAGATATGGCATAATGAAAATCTTGTATGCTGAAGTTACCACTTAACAATTCCTCGTAAGGATGCTGATCCCTAGTCAGCTCCAGGAACTCAATAGCCTGTCGCAGATCGGATGATGTATAGCCCTGGCATCCTAAAATGTTAACAGTTTTTACACAAAATCTATCAGAAATTAAGTTTAAATCCATCTTACCTCTAACTGTAAGGCACTTCTTGATTAAGATATCCACTGGAAGAGATAACTCTGCCTCTTTTCCTGAAAGACCTATGAGGATGTATACGCCGCCTGGTCTCAAGAGGTTCAAAGCCGTTTGGAAGACTTCTTTATCACCACAGACTTCGATAACAACATCTACAGAATCTTCTTTGTACCAATCTCCCGTTTGATTGTCTGAAATTTATAAAATTTTTCACTGTTGATACCTTAAACGAGCAAAAATACAACGTTACCTTTTGTTAGGATGGGTATGCCGCCGAATTTAGGAACCAGTTTGAGTCGTTCTTCCTTCACGTCCAGGCAATAAACTTTGTAGCCGCCACGGTAAAGAGCTGCACAAGAATATATACCGAACAATCCTGCTCCCTACAAAGGGGGAAACTTCATGAAAACACATTGCAAAGTATAGCGACTAACCACGTGATTATTTTTACCTGTATAACCGCAACGGCATCCTTTTTAGCTGGTATTACTGGTTGCACGGCTCCTATAATGGTTGCAAGCGCGCAATTAGCTGACGCGACCAAGCGGTCGGGTAACGTAGGCGATATCCTGATCACATCTCTATCACCTTCGAGTATCAAATGAGTAGAGAAAGTACCATTGGAACCACAGCGGTTGATGGGAGCTTTACCATACTAGAATAAAAAATAAAATTCTGCGATTATAATCTCTCGAGTACACCCAAGTGAGTGCGAACATGAGCAATAGGAACATCAAAAAGCTTCACTAACTAGAAGTACACCTTCGCGTAATGATGGCACGATGTCATCTTGCACTTCGGGCAAAATTCGGTTGCAGTAAACACCACTCTATCTCCGGGTGATAATTTACACTCGGCAGCATCACGTTTGCTGCAGATGACCTGAGCTACACCCTCGTGACCTAAGAGACTGGAAAAAATGACATCAATTAGTACGTCACAAATTCATACGTCACGCTTTTAACACTACATCTCGGCTCATTTACATAAAAAGACAAGGTCGTGACGTCACTCTTTTCAAAGCTTTTCATACATTAGAAAGCATTATCACTGTAGTTTTTTAAATGTCACACAGATGGGTATTGTGACGACATAACAGCTGCAATGCATCGTTGGCCCGTTGTTATCACTTGTACACAATTTATCGCCGTTGTGACGTGTGTAGCAATAAAAATATATATATATATATTTTTTTTAATGCTTAGAAACGGAAAATAAATATTTATCTAACATACACGAGTTGTTATTGTATCCGGGATAATATCTACTGTTAACTTAAGAGGATAATCATGTGATCGACTCGATTATCAAATTCGAAGAGTTTAAAAGTATAAATTATGAAATAATTTAAAGTAAAAATATATTTTAATAATTAAAAAATAAGATAAAATCTTCCATCACATGACTGTATATGTCGTCTGCACGCGCGTTGAAAAGCAGACGACGACAAGAATCACGTGATCGCCGGCATTTATCGTTTTCCTTCTCTCTTCTTCGTTTAAATTAATTTTAATCAATTTCCTCGTAAATAAATAAATTAAAATAGCATTAAAATTTAAAAAAAAATTATCAGCCTTTTACGTATGTAATACGTCATTCTAGTTCGAATTTTAAAAATACAGTATATGTTTCTATAAATATATTATGAGTCATATTTTTAAACAATGTCATTTTAATAAATCATTATTAATATATTTAAATTTCAAATTTAAAGGAAAACTTTGTCTATTAATTATAAGCACGTGATTAATAAATAAAGAAACAAATCATGTGAATTTTTTTTTAAATTAAAGAAAATTTATCGGTTTTGATTAATAAAATGGTTCAAAAATTGTTTATTTTTGAGTCATTTTCCTCGATAGTCGTTAAAATATCTTCTAAATGACCTCAACGGTGAGTCACGTGACCCCAGCGATTAAAATTCCTGGCTAAATTTTCGACCAATTAAAAAGTAAATTAGTAAAAACTAATAATAATAATAAGAGAATTTAATAAGATTCAAAAATCTTAATATTTAAATTAATTTAAATACAATTCTAACCCCAATTTTTCTCGATCGTAATCGCTAACGCAACTGACGTCACAACCTAAATTATTTTCGGAGCGATTCATGACGTCAGAATTGAACCAAAAAATAATAATAACAACAATAACAACATAAACAAATATAATCGACTCCAGAAATTGTTACGCCGTACGAGAAAAAGGGAAAACAAATACAAATTTAGACGCTTAAAATTAATGATTCCTCGTCCTTGAAGATTAAAAAACTTGTAAAGAAATCCGAGAAAATGGGGAGGAGTAAAGTAGACAAACGGTCATTTCATTAACAAGAGGAACACTTTAAAAAAATTTATGTAACAGATATAACATAGATTAATAATAGAAAGCCTGTTGCTGATTCTCAATTCTTTGTTATTACAATTTTTCTTCACCGGATATTTCCATTTTTATTATTACAAAACACTTAAAATCGCCGCTTTATCAGGTTAAACAATCACAGGAACTGATAAATTGTCATAAGGCATAAATGAAAATAAAAATAAAAAGATCAGCGGTATTTTATCTGATAAAAAAAAAAAAAAAATGCATTAACTTACCATGGTGNTGTCAAAAAGAATAAAACTTATACATATAACAGTATTTTTTAAGGATATATTGTGAAAAAAATATAAATTTTTAACAAATTGGGGAAAGAAAGAATTTTATTATTATATAAAAGTTGGAAAGGAATTTGTTACCATTAACTTACCATGGTGTAGTGTCCTCCCCTTTACCTATTATAGTTAACAGGTCGTTGGGGCATATGGTAGCCAGAAGGATTTTAACCAATATTTGCCCTTCTTTAAGTTCGGATGCCGTAGGAACATCGAACGTATCTATGATGTAATTGGGCTGTTTGTTTGAGCCCATGAATACTATCCTATGCCCTTCTCTGGATTTTTCGGCCATTCTTTGTTTACATTTCCCTCCGATAGATGGATAACTGCCTTCGTCTTTTCGTTTGTGATCGGTTTAGAGCAACGTCAGCGATTACGTGTTTATTTTTGTCGAAATTTCTTATTAAATTTGATAAATTATTCATTTATAATGCATTTTCGTTATTTATTTTACGATCAATAATATATTTATTCATAAAGTGTATGGTAAAAAACAAAATTTATTTTGCTGCCATCTATCGAGTAAAATGCTTTTTCTTTATTAAAAAAAATATTAATATTACTTTTTTTAACTTCGAATTTTATCTGTAAAATTAATTAAATGGTTTCTTTTAATTTATAATTTTATCAGCTTATACAATTTCTCGCTTTATTTAATCTTTAAAAATTATATTAAGACGCGTTAACAGTAGTGCTTCCATCTAGTGAGCACAAAAAAACATATTTTTTAAAATATATTTTTAAAGTAATAATTAATTACCTCTTCTTTACATAAATATAGCATTATTAATTTTGTAGATTTTAATAATTTTAATTCAATTAAATTAATATTAAATTGAATTAAAACGGCATAAAAGTAAACGTCTGTATTTTTTAAATTTAGTTTTAATTATATTTATGATAATGCTTAAAATAAATGAAAAATATAGAAAACTGCGTGATTAATTAAGATATATCTTAATCGTAATTGATATTAATGCAATAAATAAGTAGCCGATAAAATAAAATAAAAAAAATTAGTCCCGCCATCTGTGAGTGTATTTTNTATTTATTAGAATTAAGCAAAATCAATTTAGTAACGATGTAGATCATTTTTACGATTCGTTTTGTATCGTTGTATTTAATTTCTACTAGCAGAAAGTTATTATAGGGGATAGTGTGGTTATTGATACGAGCGATCCCTGTTTGGACTGTAACAGATGTTTGGAGGGCAATTATCACTTATGTGCAAGCATAAAATGCTTAGAAAAAAAAAAAAAGGTGTTCGTGGCCGCACCATGTCAAGGTCGACCACGTGACACCATTAACTCCTTCCATTTGTTGGGTGGACGGTGTTGATTCCGCGTGTTTATCTTCCTTATTCCTCGTCTTCCTTTTCCTAATCATGTCTGTCGATAATTTAAGTTTAGTTCTTCATAAAAAAGGTGACTTAAGACTGGTAAGTTCTATATTTTCCACACTAATCCATGTTATAGAAGGTATTTATGTCCTTAATGATGATAATGTCATGTCATGTAATGAATTTTGCTGTCTTTTTCCACTTAGGAAAACACCAAAATAAAAAACCCTGGTAAAAATGGTGAGTATTTGGTAATATTTAATATCTTAAGTGGATTATTATTTATGGGATATCTTTTAGAGGTTCAAATTGCCATACATTCTGTTGGAATCTGTGGTTCTGATGTTCACTATTGGCAAAATGGTAAAATTGGAGACTTCATAGTCAATTCCCCCATGATTCTGGGCCATGAGAGCAGTGGAACTGTAGTTAAAGTTGGAGAAGGAGTGACACATTTGAAATTAGGTTAGTAAGGCATGTATAACATAAACATATTTTTGTATTGCAGATTACAATATGTGAGAATCTTGTATTTAGGCGATAGGGTGGCTATCGAACCTGGAGTTCCCTGTCGTCATTGTGAATTCTGCAAGACCGGACGGTATAATTTGTGCCGCGATGTCGTGTTCTGTGCGACACCGCCCATCGATGGCACCCTCACTCGGTACTACGTTCACGCTGCGGATTTCTGTTTCGAGTAAGAGAAAAATCAATATTGATTGCCGGAATGGATTATGGAGACGAGTCAGAAAGTGTCAATAAATTTGCTTGTGTTAATATTTGATTTGAATTTCAGACTGCCTGATCATGTGAGCTTAGAAGAAGGAGCACTTTTAGAACCTCTCTCTGTGGCTGTTCAAGCATGCAGGAGGGCTAATGTTAGCATTGGGAAAAGAGTACTTATTTTTGGAGCAGGCCTGTAGTTTGTGATGCTGTAAAATGTTTTACAATCCATTCTGTGTTGTAGAAATGTACTAAATTTGAATTTTTATATCAGGTCCCATTGGACTTCTAAATCTTCTGACTGCAAAAGCAATGGGTGCTTCTGAGACTTGCATTGTTGGTAAGCAGATATATAAGTAAATTTTTAAAGAATATTAGAGAATGTGAAAATTGTTTGTTTTCAGATGTTGTTGATAGTAGATTAAAATTTGCAAAGGAGTTAGGCGCTACCTATACAGTATTATCTGATACAAAAGACGGAATTACTTTAGCAGAAAAAGTAAAAACTACAATGAATGCAGAACCGGATATATCGATAGACTGTTGTGGAGTGGAACTAGCAATATCGACCTCTATCTATGTAAGTAAATTGTCAAATTATACACATTACATAACACATTTACAGATATCCATTTTTATAGGCTACAAAATCTGGCGGTATTATTCTGTTAGTTGGGATGGGACCTGATAAAGTAACTGTTCCTCTTGTAAATGCAGCAATTAGAGAGATCGATATTAGAGGAATATTCCGTTACGCTAATTGGTGAGTTAATTCAATAAAATTTGAAATAGTTATAAGACAATAATACAATTAAAAAGAAAACTATTTAATAATTTAACCATTTATCCACAGTTATCCCACTGCACTCCAGTTAGTCGCAACTGGAGCTGTCAACTTGAAACCGTTAGTAACCCACCGATTTAAATTGGAAGAGAGTTTGAAAGCCTTTGAAACTGCAAGAAATTCTGCTAGTGGGGCCATTAAAGTTGTTATACAGTGTCAAAAAGAATAAAACTTATACATATAACAGTATTTTTTTAAGGATATATTGTGAAAAAAAATATAAATTTTTAACAAATTGGGGAAAGAAAGAATTTTATTATTATATAAAAGTTGGAAAGGAATTTGTTACTAAATATTTTGATTAAAATTTTGCATACAAATTTTAATCTTGTTAAATTTTTTATAGACTAATGAATTGTTAATAAAATTGTTTTGCATATTTATAGTTTTTAATTATTTCCAAAAACATATGTAATACATGCATACAAACTTATTTATATGAATAAAAGATATAAAGTTTGAACTTTTACAGAATTTCATCTTATTTTAAGAGAGAGAGAGAATTTTTTTCCTCTGTTGTTTGGCAGAGAGCCAAACATATTTTAACCTTCTTCTCACTTCTACGTCTTTCTGAAGTAATCTGAGATTCTATCAATGTTTTTCAAGTCTTTAAGCCCTAATTCATGCTTCCAATCTCTAAATTTCACTAAGACAATAGAGTTATTGCTTATTCTTCTATAAAATAAACTTAATTAAAGATCTGCATACTGATTGACACATGCACTTTCATAAACAAAGCATCTCTTCATGAAGCGAATAAGACGAGAAAGATCATAAACTATTTTAGAACATAAATTACACATAAAATAACATTTATTAAACCATTAATTTATGGCAAATATAACTGTTTTAGAAGCAGGATAATGATAAAATTATAACCGGAGAGTAGTGGGATTAAGTAAAAGTATATTTAAAAATGGCTTGGCAATAATATTATTTTTGATAAAAACTGCACTTTAGTAACAGCAATGATAGCTCTGAACCCTTCAGAGACTTTAACAGACTTAAATGTTCTTTTTTATCTTAATAATTTAACATTTAACTTAGATTTTACATATATTTTTCTTAAATTATTTTAATAGAATAAATGTAATTTTAAAAAATCTTATATAATATCAAGAATGTAATCTTATCACAAAACAGAGAAATATACTTAAAAGAATAAACACAATTAAAAAACACTTATATAATATCAAGAAACTAATTAATCTTATCATGAAACCGATGCTATATCTGTCCTTGCTTTGCTGTGAAATATGTTGTAACATATCTACTTATAGTCTGTCTAGTTAGTAGATGCAAAAATGTCTTCTGCAGCAGACAATTTGTCTTTGGTTCTTTACCCAACAAAAGAATTAAAATTGGTAATGTAAATACTTCAATATCTACATTTTTAAGTAATATTTCTTATATTATTTATACATTTCACATAGGAAAACCGTCCAGTACCAGTACCAAAAGATAATGGTAAGTGATTATTAAAAATATAAAATTATTTAAGAAGGATACATGTATTTAATTTTATTTAACAGAAGTATTAATCAGCATACATTGTACTGGAGTATGCTGCACAGACATACATCTATGGTCGTGGGGTAGAGTAGCTAATATAAATGTAGAAACACCGACTGTTATTGGGCACGAATCGAGTGGAACCGTAGTTCAAGTAGGAAAAAATGTCAAAAAATTTAAAATAGGTAAGTGTTTTTAACAGTACAATTATTAATTAGTGATACTAGATGGCGCCATACGTTATTATAGGGGATAGAGTGGTTATTGATACGAGCGATCCCTGTTTGGACTGTAACAGATGTTTGGAGGGCAATTATCACTTATGTGCAAGCATAAAATGCTTAGGATTACCTCCTGTTCACGGGACATATGCCAGATATGTGACTCATCCAGCAGTATTTTGTCACAAGTGAGGATGAAGTTTTTATATTAGTAATAATAATAATAATTAATTAATTAATTGACAATTTACGTAGAATACCGGATAATATGTCTTACGAAGAAGGTGCATTAATTGAGCCTTTATCTGTAACAGTTCATGCATGTAGAAGAGGTAAAGTGACGGGAGGAGATAAAATTTTAATCTGTGGAGCTGGTAAGGATAATTGGTAAAATAAAAGTTTAATTTATCTCAGAGATTCACATAAAAGTTTCTCTTTAAATATAGGTACTATAGGCGTACTGACTATGCTAACAGCTCGCTCTATGGGCGCTACAAAAATATGTGTAACAGGTAAAAAGCTAAAAATATATTTCTAGACACGATTCTCCGCATCCTCAGTTTTGATTAATCGAAACGAATTATCATTTTAATAGATATACGTCAGGATAGGTTAGATTTTGCTAAGAAATTGGGAGCAGATCACGTTCTCTTGGCCGATCCTGACAGCAACATCTGTGCTCAACGAGTAAGAGAATTATTGGGAGATTTTCCTGATGTCAGTTTAGATTGCTGTGGCTTTGAAGCAACGCTGAGAGTTGCTATGAAGGTAGGAATTGATTTAGGATCGATAAATAATCAAAATATGCATGAATATATGTAATTTCAGGCAACTAAACCTAGAGGAGCCGTAGTAGTAATCGGTATAGGTCCTGGAGAAGCTAAACTTCCCATAGCAGAAACCATGTATAAGGAAATCGATCTGATTGGTGTCAATCGCTTTCCAAACTGGTATACAGTTAATTACGTCACTTATAATTAATATTAACGATAATTATTGAATTTTTAAAAATATTTCCAGCTATCCCAGAGCTATAGATTTGGTAGCCAGCGGCGCAATTAATGTTAAACCTCTAATAACTCATCGTTTTAAACTGGAACAGGCGATAGAAGCTTTGAAGTTATTGAAAGAAGAAAAGCCAGGAACCGTTAAAGTTATGATCCATTGCCAGAAAAGTTAAGCTGGTTTATCCGTAAATGGCCTTTTGTAACGCTTCTATATCGTTACGCAGTTCTGCCAGGCTCAAAAGAAGAAAGTCGAAAGAACCAGGTTCACCCTGAAAAATTAAATAAAAATATAAATCTGTATGTAGTAGATAGATGCCATTTTAAACATAAATTGTGAATCACGAAAGTGTTGGGAATTCCTAATAAAATTCGTGACTAGTGAAAGTATATATTACGAAACTTGGTCTCCTTTCTCTTATTGATTTCTCGGAAGTTTGCTGGATGGTGTTGTTCCAGAAATTTCAATTTAATTATTCTTCCGATTTTGGAGAAAATATATATAAATCATGCAATCGCGTTTCCGTATAAACTGTAAAAAAGTTAATTACTACGTATGTTTAGTATATTGTTTCCTTTGTAGATAAATAAAAAAGGAGAATGTTACACATCGGGGAAGTTTAGCGAATTTTTATTTGACCCGTTTCCTAAATTAGAGTAAACTACGTAGAAAGAAACTATTAATCTTCACTAAAAGTATTTTTTCTGCTTCATTGAATCGGATAAATAATGTAAAACTTAGTCGAACTAAAAGCATTATCGGGAAGTGTTTGAGCAAGAAGAATCTGTACTCACTTTGTCGCCTTTAGTACCTTTTTCTCCTTCGTTGCCCTAATTAGATTGAGTGCAAAGATTATTTCTTAATGAAATTGCTTTTAAAAAATTAGTAAATATGCTTGAAAAGTTACCTTCGGTCCTCTTTTCCCTTCGGCCCCCGTTTGCCCCTAAATTTCAAAAGGATTACGGAACGTATTGATGGTTTGTGATAGGAATTTTAATAAAGACGATGTAAGATCTTACCACAGGACCTCTTTTACATCTGCAATATTCACCGCTTGGAACTTTAACGAAAGTATAAGCTTCTCTGTCGTCGTGATCGTTGTAAGAATTGCCTGGAGGTCCTTGCGGTCCCGGGAATCCTCTCGGTCCCGGCATACCCGGAGGACCAACGGGACCTGGAGGACCCGAAGCAAAGCTGTACAACTGTATAGCAGTTGCTATCGATTGTATCTGTTAACAGAATGTTAGTAACTAATTTAAATGATTAACTAGATCTGAAATCGCTTTAGAATCGATCTAACCTTTTCCTCAAGTTCACTAACTCGATTTTCTAATCTGTTAAACTGAGTACATTCGGGTGTACATCGTTTTTCTTCCTTAATTTTCGGTCTAAATCCTTCAACATACATTGCAGAATCTACAGTATAATTATGAATGTATTATACAATGATTTTTTTTAAATATCGCTGTTATATATTAAATTGAATTTACCCCGTTCGCATGTTAGATTATCGTTCCTCAGCGTGTAACCGTCTTGGCAAGAACAGCTATAACTGCCTGGTAGGTTATTACACAGGTGTTGACAGCCTCCATTATCAATATCACATTCATCAACATCTTGATGACAGAATTAAATTTTTAAAAAGTCTTTTTATGGAAGAGATAATTCTAGTTTGACTTACCTAAACAGTAAGGTTCAATTTGTGCCCTGTGTCGTTCGGGATCGAAACGGTAACCGTGGTAACAAGTACATATTACCCTACCAAAATATAGGGAACAGCGCTGTTCACACAGATTGAGATCACACGGATCTTTATCTGTTTTCGATTTAAAAAAAAGTAATTATAAGAAAAAAATCCCAACAGAATAATAAAATTCAATTAAAAATACTATCATAAAAACTCACCTTCCGGTATACACATACCAGCTATATAAGTGTAACCTTTACAACAATGTTTTCTACAAGGAAAAAAGAAAAAGAAATCAAGTTTAATTTTTCTTTACAGATAAAAA